ATTTTTTGCTTAGATGGAATATTAAGAGGATACCTCCGTTTATCGATGGAACATTTTTTTAGTTGTATAATATTTGTTAATAACAATAAAAAAAAAGGCAAACTAAAAAGAAATTAAATATTTTGTATCAAACTAAATTATAAAAATATAAGTTTATTGTAAATATCATTACGAAAAAGTTATTCATTTCAATTGTCGTAAGGACAGTCATATTTTCTCATCTTGTTACCATCTTAGGCTACGTTCAAATTCCCATCCGAGCGCCACTTAGGTATCACTCTATCTTTATTATTTACCGAATGTTAACCAAGGCTTACATGACACCCGGAAAACACCCGAATAGGAATTCGGACACGCCTTAAGTAATACATAAGCCAGTACAGTCACTTCTTTGAAGTTGGCATCTCAAAATTGGTTATCAAAATTTTGGTGTAGTCTGTTTTTCTATTTAAGATCGTCTTAAGTATAGTCTTAAGATGTCATAAACCAATCAGAGGACGGTAGATGATGCTAAAAAAATTTAATACAACCCATAGATATCTAGATTGTCAATACGCGAAAAAATTTGTCAACAAATCGCCATTTTAACTGTAAGTTCCCACGCATGCACGTTTTAATATATACTTATAGATAAGACAAAGATAACAAGTATTCTGACTCATTTTGGCTCTTATGGTTAAATAATGCGACACGTGCGGAAACTTACTGCAAGCATGGCAACATGCAGAGGCATAACAAGAATATTATTATAGAGGAAAGAACATCAGTAATCTAGATATCTATGATGCAATCGGCATAGTGTAAACATATTATCAATAAAATGTTCTTTTTTTAAATTTATATGTTAACATTTTTCGATTTACTGACAAAATGAAGTTTCGTGTCCTAATTCGTTTGACGATGCTACTAATTATTAATCAATAATAATATAAAATTTATATCTTTTCGTTAGTTTAGTTATCGAGACATTTACCTTAGCTTGCTGTAATTGGTGATCGGTCGAAACCCAAATTTTTGGTACGCCTAATTGAAAACGAAAACGATGATAATAATTAGATTGATTCTCTTTAGCAATCAGTTAACAATTGTCGACAAGACGTCTTCGCGCTCGTACAGTTGCAAGGGCGTATCATCGACGACGAAAGTTCTTCCCTTTGTACATGGGCTTCGGTCTTATGCTCGGAGCATCGGGAGCGGTGTATTGCGTTACTGGCGAAACTATTGTCCGCGACGTGCTCGGCGACGATTCGACTCGCACGACAACATCTACGCTGATTCGGTCGGCCGTCTTCCGCAGAAGCACCGTACTTTGCGAAAAGTTCAGTAAGCTCGTGCGCGCGCGCGCATGTGAGAGAGAGAGAAAGAGAGAGAGCTTTGCGGATTCTCTAAAGCTGCTTTTGTCTACGCTGACTGCCTCACCGGCGGAAGCGACCGCGTTGAGCTGTAATTAGTGTTTTACAGACGATGGCGGTATAAGGCGACGAAGAATTAGTATAAAAATGGCCGGATGATTTTTTCGCGTTGAGAAACCTCTTCTTGGAGTCAGCTGCGCCTGACGGTTCTTCATGACCGAATTAATTAAACGGCGACCTCTTCGATGAAAATGATCTTTTTCTTATAACGGTAGTGACTTTATATAGTATTGCCTTGCAAAAGAGTTTCATCTTTTTTAATATTCTATGAAATGAAATGTATAGACATGTTGATTTGAAAGTAACACATACAGTTTTTAAGCTAGTATTCATAGTTGGTTCTTATTTTCAATTTTAAATAATGTCTGAAAATAGTCATACGGCTTTGTGATTGCGTCTTATAATATTTTAAGACGTATCATACAATTAAGACACGGTCTTAAATATAAATAGCTCTATGATATGATAGCTCTATGATATGAATATCAATCTTATTATACGAAGTTTATAGTAGTATTTATTTACACTTCAGCTTTACAAAAATAGCCAAGAAGAGGACTTGGTTTATACGAAGTTTATATTTTTCCATAATTTTTAGAAATCCTGTGGCAAATATATTAATTTCGAAAATTTTTAACTATACGACGTTTAGGAAGAAGCATAGCTAATCAACAATAATAAAGTTAACTAAACCTTATGTGAATAACATAAATAAATAGAGAGAGAGAGAGAGAGAGAGAGGGAGAGGAGCATCAGATATATGAATTATTAAATACATTTTTTAGTTCTTTAAACGGGAGTTAATCGACATCAGCGCAGCTAACTTTGTCATTTCTACGAGAAATTGTATAGGGAGTACGTGTTGCGTTTACGAAAGCTGTACGTTGTAGAAGTTACTTTTTCGCTCTGTATTAAAGTTCGGGCGTCCTCTCTTGCATAAATACCTCTTTCTTCACAGGAAGAGTAACCTTGATGTTATTAGAAATTGCGGTCGGTGCGGTGTGGTCGAAGCACGTTAAGCCAGATGGTATCGTTTGAAAGTTCGCATAGAAGGAAAACGGACTTTTATCTGTCGGAACTATCTTACTCTTGGCGGTTCGCAGCTTCGCCCATCGAGCGTATTTGACTAACCGATATATCGCCATTGAACACGCATGTGATGTACGTACGCACATCTACGTTGTTTCCTCGGGCAATTCCATTCTCTCGTACGTGCGAAATGCGCGTGCGTTTGTCACACTTATCGCCGATCGTAAGCGTTTTATCTCAGTTCTCTTGTTTCTCACTAGTGAAGCAAGGAAGCAAATCCGCGTAATCGTATTACCATCCGCCTCGTCATTTCACAAAGAGCCATTATTATATGAATAATTCGCTTTTGCGTTACGTAAGGTCTTCGAAATATATACGATAGATTGGATTATATCGATAATCGAACGTGTTATTAAGGCAAGATTACGGAAAACATTGCCTTATGTTCGCGCGTCTGACGGAATAAATTCTGTCTTTTTCTGACTGACGATTACGGACGCACGCGGAATTTTAACGTCATTAACGCACGAAGAATCAAGGGGATATATAATATATAATAAATACTACTGCTGATACATATATTATAAAATATTACTGCTCATAATTGTTTTTAATTTTAAAAGCTAAGTATCCCATACTATTGTTATTACACAGATGTAATGTATTTTATTAGAATTGATGCTATTTATGTTGTATATTGGTTGTAATTATAAGTATTCTTTATTTAAATTATTGAAACAATGTTCACAGCACTATCTTTAATTATTCTTGAATTATATTAGGTATTTCCTATTATGTTACGAATCATTTTTATAAAGGGTAATTGGAGAGATAGTTGAATCAATGTTATTTCAATCATTTAAATTTAGAATTTCAAACGCTGCACAATTACAACTATATAATAATATACAACAATATAAGCAGCGTCAATTTTAATAAAATATTATCTGTATTAACAATAGTATGGTACAGTTAACATTTACTATTATCTTCTAAAATCGGAGTAAAATGTGAAATATGTGTTGTTCGAATAATTATGAGCGATATGATATAAGATGATTTTATCCAGAAACACTTGGCAGCTATTTTTTTATCTGAACAATGCAGCGATTGCCAAATGCACGGCGTCGCAATGAGTACCAGTTAGCAGAAGTATCTTACATAAATGATATTATCAGAAGTTTTCAAATTTGTTTCTTAGCGTTACGTGTTACAAAATATGATCTGAAATTTCTGAAACATCCGAAATACCTGAAAATATACCGATCTCTCGCGCGAGACGTGTTAAAAGCTATCGGACTTGCTCACCATCATAAAATTCGTTTTATCCTCCCGCGGAACGGATGCATTCTAATCCCGAGTGTTTGAGCAACCGTCTCTTCTCGCGAACCGATGCAATGCCGCGACGCGTCGACATTGCAAAAGCGTCGTCTCTCCTTCTCACACTTTGACTCGTATCGTAATTACATTCTCCTAGAATTCGGTATGAACGGAAATGGAGGCGAGCGAGGAAGTGCAGTGTTGTCGCTGCGCGAACGAATCAATCTCGTTCTCTTGAAGGAAAAGAGTCTGCAGTAATCAAACATCCTCTCGATTCTTTCAGTGCGAAATTTTGTATCCTATTCAAGCATGAATTCTACAATGAATTCTATGAGTGAGAGATTGTCATGCGAATCTCAATCTGTACGATTTGCAAAAATTTCAGGGTCTGAAAATTGCTATTAGGTACAGTGTGAAAACGAAAACGCATCTCGGCGAGTTTAGGGTTTAAAGCTGGCCGCGTGCTCACGCGGTTGTCGTCCCGCTCCGCTTCTCCTTTCCTCTCGTCCATGTTCAGCCTCATTATCGTTATCCGTCGGTGTGATTATCGCCACGGAGTTAAGTGTATCGGCTACGGTCGTACCGGTTCCGACGGTGATCCGAACGAGCTTGAAAGTTCTTGCGCAGGCAGGAAGGAAGAAACGTGCACATCGCGCGAGCGAGCGAGAACGCGGATGAGAACTGAGAGAAAGCGTACGACGCTTGCTCCCTCTCAATCGGTCCAGCCTTCTCAAGGGCGAGACCGGCTAGTGGTGGCCGAGGCTCGAGGCGCACCTCACTGTCTCCACTACTGCTGTCAGGCGTGCGTTATATCGATTCCGTAGTCTGGTCTGATCGACGCACACGTTGCGTACGAATCGAAATCGTTAATGCTGAGTCAGTCACAGGTGCCTCTCCGCCTGGCGCCTTGCGTGCACTATTTCGCGATGACGAAGAGATGGAGCAAGTCTTTGCAGTATAGAGAAAGAGAGAAGAAAAGAGCAAGAGACGGAGAAGGAGGAAAAATACAAGATATTGCTCTAGAAAGAAAGAATGATACGCTATGAAAATAGCAGTGGAGGAAAAAAAATAGAGAGAAATGTTTGTTCATTCATTTGCCCGTCCGTTCGTTTATTCGTTCGTTGTCCGCTCGTCGCGTCGTCCGCTCGTCGTTCTCCGGTGACGAGGGCACGGTCGATATGGCAACGCCGCGCCTCACCAGTCCCACCACACGCATACCGGCGCGGCGGCGGCGCCGGCATGGCATCACCGCCCGAGCGACATACAGGCAGTAGTGGCAACGTCGCATCCCCCGATGCCATCGCGGGGGAGGGGATCACGCCGAACAGCGAGGAAAGCGACCTCATGTCCTGCACACATGTGCGCGTAGCTAGGGAGGAGAACGAGGGAGACGGAATGGCAGGAAAAGAAGAAAGGGACGGAGTGGAGTCTGAGTCGGTCGGTCGGCTAGCTGTACTCCTCGTCTGTCCCACGCACGCGCTCCGTGCCGAAATTAGCGATGCACTTGCCCTCGCACGGGGATTCCTACCCTTCCTGCGGAAAAAATATAGCCCCGTCCGTCCACCTTCGTCGCGATTCGTTGGTTTCAAGTGGACGGCGCCGATGAGCCATCTCCCGCGGAGATTACGGCGAGGAGTCGCTTGTTTGTGTGTGTGTGTGTGTGTGTGTGTGTGTGTGTGTGTGTGTGTGTGTGTGTGTGTGTGTGGACGAGATATTTCTTCTTCTTTGAATTATTTCAAACAGATGCACGCGTTCTCTGCGAGGAGGAATGCGCATTCGCGAAACACCTAAACGTTTTATAATAATTTGACCGGTCAAGAATGCGTTAGGCAATTTAGGTTTTTCTTACAATTAGTATAGTCTTTCTTAATGATATCGAATTTTATTTCCTAATAAAGATAAACCTGCTTCTTCAGAGCAGGCCTTCATTTTGTTCGATACTTTGGAGCGTTCCTCGTTACCTAACATCTTATCCTTCTTTGGCTTCATATGCTTCATAGCGCGTCTTCTCCTGTACGGAGGAGTTAGTCTGGTCATTTCTTTTCGCTCGTCTGTTAATCGTAAGTAATGACACCTACTAACACCTTAACATGCGCCGTGCGTGAGGCCTCGAGCTCTCGAGGAACTCTCTCAAGAGAAGAGAACGCGCAGCGTGAGAAAAGAGAGAAAGAAAGAAAGAAAGAGCGAGAGAGGAAAGTCTAACCAGAGGCGTTCTGCGCGTGCGACGTTGTCACGCAGCCGTCTCGGCATGGCTCGGCTCGACTCGGGCTATTTCCGAGAGCGTACGTTCGGCGCGCGGAGGCGCCGGGCACTGGTAACGACGGCAACATCGCTATCTCCCGCCGTTGCGCTGAGATAAATAGAGATGGTCTGCGCTGTAGACCTTAAGCCGTCATCACACTGCAGGTCGCCCCGGTTACGGTTGCCGATTAACAATTTTAACCAATCACAGGGCAGCTAATGCGGACTAGTTGCAATTAAATTGGCTAAAATAGGATCGTTACTCGGAAACCACAATCGGCAACCCGTCGTATGATTGCGGCTTTACGGTTACAAGACACGCACACCGTTAGTCGAGAAAGGAGCGAGACGGGCAATAGATTGGCCAAAGAAATCATGCCGTCGAGCGGACCGCCGCGCGTTCGTCGTACCTCCTGCGAAAACTCGACTCCCGCTCAAATACAAATGATCACTCCATGTACATTGATTGCGTCGTGATTTTTAGACAAGTTTTCAACGTGTTTCGAAAAATATGTTCATATCTAGAAAATGACTCTTAAAAAAGGAACAATTACCTGTGCTTTTAATACCGGCTGTTTCTACCAACGTAGATTAACTTTAATTTCAGTTCAACTTAATCTTTTTTTAATTTTAAAAAAGAGAAGAAGATAAAGAGTAAGTTAAACTCCGAGATTATAGTTCATATCTATACATTGCTGGCGCGGCGTTTAGCTACGACGACAGCTATTTCATTTAGCGCTGCATTTCACTGCTGCTAAGTGCCACAATTCGTGATTCGCTTATATTTAGCATCGATCTTAACGCGTGTTAACGAATCGCGTGGCTGCTTTGATGCTGTTGCTTTTCGTAACAGATACACACTGTAGAATTTTTCTTCGTCGCGTCGTAAAAGTCATATATCTCTGATTTTTTTGACTGTCCCTTTCGGCACGCCGCGCTTTCCTTTGCGCACTGCCGCTGCGACTTGCCGCATGACCGTGTTTGGTGCGCATTTTTACTTCTTACGATTGCGAGGAAGAGCTCAGCGATTTGCTTACGTTTGCCGATAAAAGTACTCGTTGCATCAACCGTGACATAGCCTTGGTTAACCGATCCTAACAATATCTCTTCTTTTTTCTCGTTCTAACGTTCATATACTCGACAACGAGATAGTCTGTTCTACTACTGTTTGTTTTTGCATTTTGTTTACTTTTAATTATTGCACATTTTTTATTTCCGATGATACGTTACAAAAAAAGGATCAGCATTGCGAACTCAACATTCGTTCTACGAAAGTTCAATATGATACGTTCGTTATACCTATATAAATTCGTTAACGATATATATGCGAATATCTGGTTGAGGTTGACAAGTATATTATTATTAACGAGCACGTCGTCATCTCTTAACCAGATTACTAATTTTATAACAAAATAAAATTTCAAATAAAAATTTTATTTTTCTGAAAATATTCTAATACGTATATTTTTTAGTAGAATGTATATTTAGTATATTTTTTAATAGAATATAATAATAAAAAAATAGTTATCGGTTTATCTTGTATGTATAAATCCGTCTTGCGTTCGTTTTACGTTCGGGCACTTCGCGTGCGACTCGAGCTCTTCGTAGATTTCCATTAGAATTTGCCGTTCGAATCGCGTGAATTAATTACAAATTCCGACAATTCCCGTCGACAAGATACCTAAAACTAAAGACACGTGTGCGATCCTTTCGATTCTTCCTCTTTCTCCTTTACGCGTTGCCGCCTCTGTCGCGTAAAAGACATTGGTATTAATGGCCTTGGCCGACGGTACCAGTTGGTAAGCCATCATTCGAGCACGAGCTGCAGCACTTGGAGGTCACTGCACCTTTCTTCTTTGCTCTCCGTACATCGTAGGCCATCTCTCCCAAGTATTTACGACGCGCGCATATTTTGCGATACTCTTTCTCTTGTACCTTTGAAACTGGTTGCGCGATGAAGGTAATTACAAGGATGATTGAATTTTTGCAAATTCAAATATGAGTCCCGAACGAAAGTCCGCTTGCGAGAACGAAAGTATCCTGTCTCCTCTAATTCTCCATCTCTAATCCTATAATCGCTATTTCTAATCCTAAATATTTCGAACTCTAAATAAAAAACTTTTTTTGCAGAATTTTTGGTGTTTTTATAGGAGTGTAATTTTATAAAAGAGAGAAAATTTTATAATCAATGATAAAAAAAGTGAAAATATGGATCGATAAGTGAATAACACAAATAAGAGGAAGGAGTCTTTATTCAGTTAAAATGGATCTTGGTGCTTAAGAATATTTTTATGAAAATTCTTTTTAAATATTTTTTTCCGTTTTATAAACTACACCCCGATTTTGGTTGTCGACTTTAAAACACACAATCTTAGACTGAAGCTAGAATAGTAGTATCAATTGAATTAGTTGTCAACTTTGAATAATAATGCTAATAAACATCTTAAAACAACATTGCAAAGAATTTATTACGAAAAATTTTTATTATTACAGTAATTTTATAAAATTATGAATGTTTCACATATAATCATCTTCGCATTTCGTATAGATGATTTTGATTGATGAATCGCGTTTGCGTGCGACGAACCAAACGACGAGCTTCGTAATAATTGAAGTTTAGCGACGACGATACTCGATCGCATTACAGCTCTCATAGATTAGTTTATGTTACGCAATGTAAACCATGAAGCCGGGACGGAAAAGAATGCACAGCCATTGTGTTCCGCGACAGTCGCGTACAAACCGGCTGCATAACAACGTGGCACCCGCATGTTTTCGCAGATGTACCAACCAATATGATGGCGCGAATCGTTTACTTAAATATCCGACAGATACGACTCGGTCGGTCATTTTGATCGCAAACGTCTACAGTAATATTAATCATAGCGCGAAATATTTTTTGAGAGTTATCGAGACTTCCAGACGTTGCGTACCTACTCTGCAGCACTGCCATCATTTAAGACATTTTGTCAACTTTCTTTGACAAGTTATTATCAAAATCCACTATTATCCAAAATAGGTCACTATAATTACCTTTTTTCTTGAATCGATATGAGATTTATAATACATAAGCGTGTTCTATTTATATTTTTATTGTCTCATCTGATAATAATTGCTACTCGCTTATTCTTGCTAACTGGATACTAATTTAATATTAAGTTATTGTTTTCAAAATTTCAGATGTGAAACTAAAACGCGATATGACTTTCGAATAAATGTTTTTTTGCACGTTTAAAGAACACGTTTTTTGTTGTATCTTTAAAAATTTTATTTATTTTTTATTATTTGTTAAATATGTTTTTATATTTTTGCTATCTGTAGACGATAATTACGACATTAAGTTATCCAAAAATAAGATCAGGGGAAGAAAGTAAATGTTATTTTTTTTTTACTTCAATGGCCTGAAAAGTTAATAAAAAGTGTTATACTTCTGCTTATTATTTCAATGCCTGAAAGCTTTTGTCATTTTTTTCGACAACAGTTACTATTTGTTTTTTTTCGATTCGATGGTAGCACTGATACTGCTTAATTGATTAATGTATGTCTTAAATTTGCAAAATTATCCTGAAAAATTTCCAACTATGTCATTTAATATCGCAATATAATTTTTGTTTGTAATTATAAAACGTAAAATATAAAATATTCAATATAAAGTGAAATGTTTGTGCAAGCATCTGCTTATTAGTGTGTGCGTAAAGAAATCAAATCTATAATTAAACTTCTTTAAATATTATCCAATATTATGTAAAAACGTATAAATGTTTCGATCTTGGATTTGAATCCTTTTCAGTAGTGTAACAATCGGAAAAATAGATTAATAGAAAGGTTGTAATCTCTCTTGACAGTTTTTAAATACCAAAAAGCTTAAATAATAAAATGGTCAAAAGTGAAAGTGAAATATGTAAGTTAAATAAATCAAAGAGTTACATAATATTAATATATATGTTTATATATACATATATATGTGTGTGTGTGTGTGTAATACACACACACACACGCATACAATATATTAGTATATGTATACAGGGTGTTTTATTTTAATCGCCTCAGACGAATAACTCGATGAGGGAGATAGAGAAAAATGGTGAATACAAAAGTTGTATGGTTCGAGGGAGTACATAAGAAGGTACTATTGATTAACCTTGAATGGTGTCATTAAGGTCATGGCAAGGGCATTTTGAATTTTTTAAAAGAAA